ATTATTTGACTACGGTTTAATAGACTTTGACTACTACTTTGTAGCCTGGATAATGTATTGTCTTTTCGAACAGTATATTTGTCGTTTCAAACAGTATCTCCGTGTAAGGTATCTAACAATCAGACTACTCTCTGACATTATTTGACTACGGTTTCATAGACTTTGACTACTACTTTGTATCCTACACAATGTATTGTCTTTTCGAACAATATATTTGTCGTTCCAAACAGTATCTCCGTGTAAGGTATCTGACAATTAGACTATTTATTTTCATTATTCAACTACAGTTTCATAGACTATGACTACAACTTATTTGCATTCTTTTTTCTTATTTAAGTACTCCTATAAAATTATAACAAACTAACAAATAAATTTAAAAAATGGCTCCCAATCATGCCGAGATTTCCAACGCAACTGCTCCGTCCAACACTCCACATCCATGGACGATAAGAGAGGTAATGGTGGTAACACGTTGTTGTATGAACATTTACGATGATGTAACCATGGTTAACCCTGATTGCTTTGAAAGTGATGATTGGACCCGCATAACAACCATTTTTAACCTCTCGTTGGGAGAAGGGAAACATCGAACACAAGAAGATATTGTTGGTAAGTGGATGGATTTAATGGAAAAAATCACATGGTTTAATCGATGGTATCATCATCTTAAAAACAGGTATCGTTATCCAAGTAATGACGAAGATCTTTTAGAAATGGTTAAAGATCATTACATTTTGGAGCACGAGGGAAGTGACTTCGAGTATGAGGATGGATGGATTCTAGTTAAAAATAACAAATATTTCATGTAGAAGGCTTTTTTATGTGAAATGTCTTATGTATTGTTTCCTAAGGGTACTGTATCTCATTTTCTATAATGTTTTATGTTTGTGTTTTTTTTCATGAATAAAGGAGATAATAAGTGGCGTACTACATTTAATTAATAATCTCAGAAGTGCAGTTTAATACAGCAATAAAAATCACAAATGCGGGAATTCATTACTTTCCTAAATTAATCTAAGGACAATTCAAATCAAATGTGTTGTTCAAATCAAAATTAGGGTACACGCTTTCGTTCTGTGACCCGCTCCCGGATGCGAATTCATCAGTCATTATGCCATTTTGTGTCGATTTTTTTCCTACCCCCAGATCCGCTGCTTGATCCCCTACCCGTATAATCGTTCCTCGTGTGTCCAAAATAAATGCATGTAGAACATTCTTGTTGTATGGGACGCTCACCTTGAGACGGAATATGACCAATGTTTCTTGGCCTACCCGGATGACGTCTCTCCATTATGGGTGGCTTCACAATCATCAAATCATCAGGGATCTCCCACTCAGATGGACTTGGTAAGGGGTTCACAGACTCCTCGTAAGTTTTCCTAAGCGTCTCTGTAAAGTAAGCTCTTAAAGCAAATTCTGAACAATCTTCGTACCGGTTCATTGTGAGCACTTTTATGACATGGCCACAAGGTAAGCTATCTATTTGCCACCGCCTACATGTACAGTTTCTTTGTTGGAAATCAACAATGACACTTTTGTGAGTAGAGGTTTTCACTTCAAAACTATTATTTGAGATAGGGTACACCATCCAATTATTACAATCATCCTTATTTTCTTATATAGTTGTTTCAGTCCATGGGGTGAGTGTCGTTTTTACTTCCGCTAAAAAAATAGACATATTTTAATAATATCATATGAGTAGTAAAATAAGATTTCAATTACTATTACATATAAAACATAAGTACCTGCTACACTACATTTCTGAAAACTCCATTGTTGCATTATTGCACGAAAATACTCAATCAACATCAATATTGGCATCTTTCTTGCAAATCTTGACATTGCATTTATCGACTCCGCACTATTTGATGTCATAAGAAAATACCGATTCCTAGGAAAATGTGCCTTGGCCCATCTTTTTGGATTGATGTTTTGTAGGTATTCCCATACACGAACATTTACCTATTTAATTTTTTTCATCCTATTATCAAATTTTTTAGTAGTGTACGCTTTGCATCTCTCCCAAAATAATGCATGTATTGTATCGCTGCTTCCAAATTTTGCTGAAATGTTGAAATACAAATGGATACCACATATTCCATGATGGGCGTGAGGAAATATATTTGCAATTAGCGTCGCTATGGATGGAGCCCTATCAGATACGAATGTAAGGTCTTCCACGTTGCCTATACATTCACGTAGTTTTCGAAGAAACCAAGACCATGTCTCTATATATTCACTTTTGCATATTGTAGCACCTGGTTCCCGGTACGTACTCCTTTCTATTTACATTTTTAAAATATGCATTTTTCCTTAGACTCGGCGAGTTGATGGGCCAACTCGCCGAGTAGGATTGGGATAAGGCGCGGGAATTGGACTTTGGACTCGACGAGTCGGTCCCCGGACTCGGCCAGTAGACCCTGTTTGGGCAAAAACCCTAATCTAGGTGTTTGCATCCTATTTAAACGCTCTAACTTGGCCTCCTTTGTCCCTAACACTTCTAGAGAGCAGTAGAGCGAGACCCTAGCCCCCATATGGTTCTTGAGAGTGTTTTTGGCTTTGTGAAGGAGGTTTGGAGCTTAGAAGAAGAAAGAGGTGGTTGAAGAGTGGAAGGAAAGGAGTAGATTCGAACTCTACTCAGGGAGAAGCTTCCATTCAAGTAGAAAAGTCCCTACCTTGATCTTTAGGTCATTAGTTACCATTTTTGTCCCAATTTGGTGCTTTTCAAGCCCTAAAACACCAAACTCCATGTGTTGTGCTTAATGATCCGAAAGGACTTCAGATCTAGACTTATTGGAGGAATTAGTAGCATAAAGTTTTGTGGTTGAAGTGATTGAGGTCCCCATTGAGTGTATGACCTCCTTAAGAGTTTGGTTTTGGCCTTATGAGCTTATAGGGCCATGCATGCACGTAAAGTTTGCAACTTTACGTGATAAGCATGCTCAAGGAACATGGATCTGTGGTTTTGAAGCGTTGCATGTCTTAGATTTGGCCTATGTGGGAAATGGGTCATAGGGACTCGGCGAGTCCTAATGAGGAACTCGACGAGTTCCATGAAGATGGCCTTAGACTCGGCGAGTTGGATGAACAACTCTGCGAGTCCTATGAAGATTGCCTGGAACTCGGCGAGTTGTTCTTCAAACTCGGCGAGTCGGGTCGTGAGTCGGTTCAATCGTCCCAAGTAATGAGTTAAGGGTGATTCAGTGAGTGGGAAAAAGGACTGGTTGAGTAGGACCGGGTTAATAGGAAAAGGACTCGGCGAGTCTATGCCATGACTCGGCGAGTCCAGTCAAATGGACATTGACTTTGACCAAGGAGTTAACCTTGGACCAAGGGAGGGTCAGTCTTTTGACCTAAGGGTATTTATGGGTGTCTAACCTATGTTTATGGTTTATAGCCGGAGGATTTGCGATCCAGCAATCAGGCGCTCAGCAAGCAGACTTCAGCAGCTACTGTCGAGGTGAGTTACCTTCCAGTAGCGGTGGGTCTAAGGCCACAATGTCGGCCCACCAGTAGGAGACATATGATAGATGATTGTCTTTGTGATATCATCTAGGTTTGCTACTACCTGATATGTTATATGCTAGCATGATATGTCGTATGTGATAGTAGTAGAGTTCGGTTGTTAGGAGCGAAGGGTAGTCAGACACCCCAGATACGTCTGACAGTATGTGATGATATGTTTGCATGCTGGCTTGTTATGTTATATGCGATAGAGGTAGTAGGAGGGGACCAGTCCCCGAGTTCGGTTGTTAGGACCGAAGGGTAGTTCAGGCACCCCAGATATGTCTGATATTATGTTATGTTATGATATATGTGATAGTAGCATTAGGGGGTAAAATAGTCCCCGAGGATCGGTCGTTAGGTCCGATGGGTAGTCAGCACCCCAGAATGGATTGACATGGGTAGTCAGCAGCTCAGAACGGCTTGACACGGGTAGGTCGGCACCCCAGAATGGTCGCACCAGGTAAGTCGGGCACCCCAGAATTGCCCGGCAATATGTATGATATGTGATTGTATGGTATGTGGTATGATGGGGGAACTCACTAAGCTTCGTGCTTACAGTTTTCAGTTTTGGTTTCATGTACTTCTTCTTTGAAGGGGAAGGAGCCGGCGCGGTAGCAGCACATCACACACGCGCTTTGTATTCCGCACTATGAGATCTTCCTGGGGATTTGTACTCTGACATTGTTATGTTTTTATAAATTGGTTTCCAGACATGCACATCTTTTATGAAATGATATGATCGGTGAATGTTTTATTTCTAATGTTTTGCTAAGTATGTGTTTTAAAAATGAAAATTTTGGCTCGTATTTTTGGGATGTTACACATATGGCATAAGCAACGGGCAAAATCTAATTTTGATCGTCCATTGTCACTGCGAGCAACATCGTACCCTTGAATTCACCCTTTAGGTGACCACCATCAATTATTAGTGTCGGCCTACAATATTTGATGAACGCTTGTACCTACAATTATTTTTTATTGCATTAACAAATACAAATTAAGAATCATATGTTATAGTTGTTATAAAAAATTATCACTGCTTACCGAGCAACCCAGCGCGATATACACAAACTCAAATTGATCATCAATGTCTGTTCTTATCTGAGTAACAGTTCCTGGATTATGCTTGACCAAGTTGTGTTGATACACTGGTAGTTTGGTGAATGAATCCTCTTTGGTACCTCTTAACATCAACAACGCATATTGTTTTGCCCGCCATGCCAGTTGGTATGAGATATTGATTGGAAATTTCGAATTGATGTTCTAACAATTTCATTACCCCGATAAACTCTATTATAATCGCCGGCCAATACTTCAGTGATAAAGTGGTCAGGTACCTTTTTCTTTGATTGTCGTTGATTAGAATCCAAGTTTGTTGCACAACATGTGTATTAGTCAATAACTTTTGTGACTTGGAAAGCAGTAGTAGATTTGATTTCCCTTGGCCTAACCATCCAAGAACAATTTTCTACCAAACAAACCACCTCGAACCTCTATTTGCTCGATCTGGTAGTACTATACTGCTTACCTTGTTCCATGCATTGTGTTCCAATTGCAAGCTTGAGTAACTCTTTGTCATCAAAAATGTCTAGAACCTTAATCTTTTCATTTATATCCAACCTCTGACATGGAATGTTCACATTATCATTTACATGACATGAAGGCAATGGTGGCATACCATGAAACATGGTATCTGAATAAATAAGTTTAGGTTCATCATCAAATTCTTCTCTGTTAGAATCACTCTCTAGGCCGGGTATATCTAACTTGTCACAATCCGCAAACTCACCATAGCCTTTTAGTTCAACATCATGTAAAAATAGAACTTCTTGTTTTTCAGATTCATTACCAACCTTATCCACCACGTCTAGTGCTTTTTTTGGTCAAACTTATGATTTATACCAACATCATTAACATATGTACCAACATCATTATCACCTATATACTTATAATTCTTTGGTGTAACATACATAATTAATTCTGGCAATACATTTTCATTTTCAGCAACACTATGATATTGACTTTTACTTGGACTTTTAAAATTACCTATTGGGTTGTTGCTCCCTTTTCCACTTGATAAATTCGCTGCAGATGCCTTTCCTCTATCATCAACTTCGTTACGCGATACGCCTTCTTCAACCACCACATAGACATACACAGATTTATCTCCAACGGTATTTATTACCTTGATCGGTTTTCTAATATCACGATCATCAACAATAACACAATAATAGAGTTGTTCTGGATGTTGAATAGCCAGACTGACTTTTGATTCTTCGGGAAGACCTATGTTGCACTTCACCATATGAACAAATTTGGTGTATGTGGTGGTTTAGTAAAATTCAACACCGAAATAAAACATTCGCGGATTGTATACGTGTGGCCAAACATATGATAATTGAGAATTAACAAACTCTCATCTTCCATCCGTAATGAGCAATACAAAATACTCTTTACAACTCATTATCTTAATTTTGAGAATAAAAAAGCTTGAGTGAAGAAACTTTACAAAACATGAAATATTTCAAAAAATATAAAATACTTAATATATATAAGGTAGGTTGAAAAGAGTAGTCAACTCTGACGAAAAAGTAGTCAAATTTAACAAAAAAATAGTGAAAAAAAAAATAGTCACGTTTACCCAAAGAGTAGTCAAATTCAAACCAAATAATTGTTAAAATTTAAACAAAATAGTTGTTAAAGTTATTGTACATATTATAAACACTCTTTTTTATACTCTGTATTTAAAAAAAATTAAATTAAATTTAAAAAAAATCGTAGTTTTTTGGACAAAATAATAGATAAAACCTCCAAAATAGTAGATTTAAAAAAAAAATAGTTGATTAAAAAAACCGTAGTTTTTGGACAAAAATAATAGATAAACCCCCCAAAATAGTAGATAAAAAAATTAAAAAACTGTAGCTTTTTCCCAAAAACCGTAGGTTATATAATACCTACGGTTTTGTATGTCAAAAATGATTTTTTTTTTTCTATAGAAAACGCGAAACAGTAGACGAAATGGCGAAACAGTAGGCGAATCTCGAAACCTACGGTTTCGTGGGCTATTTTTAACCATTTATTAATTTTTGACTAAATATTACTAATTGCTCCTTTAATTTGGCTAGTAATTAGCCTTTTAAGAAATTCAATTATATAATAATCTTACTTTCTAAAAGAACTAGGTATACATATTTTAGTTGGTTTTTGATTAGCTTTTATTGTGTTTAGTATTTTACTTTTGTAAGCAAAAGGTTCTTTAGTTGTTATTAAATAAAGTATTAGAATAAAATTAAAACTATACATACTGCTTCCATAGGATATAAGAAATTTATATTAAAATTCGTCTTTTAATTGTGTAGTGGCTTGAAGAAGAGGTTGATCATCTTACCTAAATTTCTTAAAAAGCCATTGAACTTAATTACATTTGGATTGCATCGCTATGATTGGAAACTTTTTCAAAATATATCATTTGTATTGTTATTATTAGTGATTACCAGTAACACATGGTTGTAAGGATGAGCATATGGACCGGGAACCGGTCGGAACCGGTACCGGAACCCGATGGAACCGTCGGGCCGGGACCGGGACGTTATTTTTGTGGATTTTTGGAACCGGAACTGGTAGAACCGGCAAAAAACCAAAACCGTATAATGCTATTTTTTGAGGACCGGTTCCAACATTTGAAGACACGACAAGAACCGGTAGAACAGCCGGTCCGGTTCGGTTCTTGATTTTGGCCGAAGCCGGTTCCTGGGTTGGGTCCGGTTCAGGCCAATTCCGGCCGATTCGATCTTTTTACTCATCCCTACATGGTTGTTTATGGAATTGCAGGTGCTCCTTGGACGGAGGAAGAACATAGGACGTTTCTACTGGTGTTAAAGAAGCTGTTGAAATATTATGATTTGTATGCAAACATTATTCATGAATATTCGAAGTTTTAGTTTCCTGTTAAACCTGTTATTTGTGAAAAAGATTCAAAATGCTTCCTTTGATTCAAGGGACACATAGTATTATAAATACACTTACAGCAGCAACTGGTGTTGTCCATTTTCATACTTTGGTTATGGTATGTAAGAAGGGTAAAATGGTAATTTAGCAATGGCAAATGGTATAGCCAAGGCAGGAGCAAAGATGGTGATGGTTGTTTCCTATGCAAAGGTTCATATTCTTATATATTTTTTGAAAATGTCCTTTGAAGTTTGGTCAGTTGTATGTAAATTCTTTGAATTTCTTGGAAATGTTGTGCACAACTTAAGAGAAGAATAAATTAATCCACTAAATCTGGTGTATTTAGAATGTAAGCTTATACCTTTTTTTATTAAATAATCGATTTAAATCCCATAGTGATCTTTATTTTGTATGTTACCTGTTAAATTTTGATCAATATTTTGATTATTGAAACTTAAAATGAATGAAATATGGCGTTGGTTTTCTTTTACACATCTAATCCCGTAAAGCGGGATTTTTCTCTAGTTAACATCATTTCTAGTCATAATCCAAAGGCACTTTCTCTCAAAGAATTTTTCTATATAAATCGATTTGTTGCAACATTTCACTAATATTTTCAAACACAAAAAACATATATTTATTGGATATCATGCCATATTTTGTTAAGATACACACACAACTGATTTTCACAAGAGAAAACACAACACGCTAATTAAATTCATCTGAACACAAACAAGCTGAAAACGTGGAATTTTATAATTCAAAATTACGAAAAATTTAATCACTAAGAGATAATATATATATTTTTCAGGCTAATTACTGCACAAATTATCCTAATAAAGCCTAGATTTTGTCTATTCTATTTTGTTAGAAGCTCCTTGGCTACAAAATAAAATAACTTCAAATTAAGAAAATGAAAAAGGTCCGCTGACGTAATCACAATCCAGTCATTCAGAGGGGCTGTTGTATCGAAGATGTTGCTCGTAGTAGTTGATCAACTGTTATTATATATCATTTATCAATAATTATTAATTAATAAATAAAATTAAAGAAACAATGGATTTAATAATTATCATCTTCGATTAGTATAATGAATAAATAATTTTCATTTACCCAATTACACCATTTTTTCAACATCGTATGTTGAAATAAAAGTAGGATGATATAATAAACAATAAATAGATAAACAAAAGTATGTTGCTATTTTGTTAGTATTTATTTTGGTATATATATATATACATATATATATATATATACATATATATATACATATATATATATATATATATATATATATATATATATATATATAATGTGGGTAATTTTGTCATTTAAAACCAAACTTATCAACAAAAACATGAAGAGAAATTTACCAGAAGTGGGTTGTGTTCCTTCAGGTACTTGTTATCCACAACAACCTCTTCTCCATCTGATCTGTTTATAACCAACAAAAAAAGACAAGGTTTTTAAGAAATTTTTTACTGATGAGGAGCAAGGGCAATCATGTCTTTTTACACAGACGAGACAACAGCAAAACATGTCCCACCTTTTTTTAGGGAAATGTTGGAGAATGAGGGCAATCATGTCTTTTTCACAGACAACCCTTATATTTTAGGATGACAAAAAAAGAACTAGAAAAATGTTCAATGATGAGAAAGAGGAGGGCAATATCGTCTTTTGCATAAAATAAGTTTGTCCAATGCATGTCAAACACAGTACAAGACAAGATAGTCTGTTAACAAAAAGGGTTATAATTATAAAAAAAGAAAAAAAAAATTCCACAAACCTCGTGACCAAAAAGGACACAGACACATCCTCAATGCCATTAAGTATAGAAGTCGAATAGTTCACAGGCTTCAAAATCTTCGTAACAACATTCAAATTTCCAGAAATACCCACAATCTCATTAGCACCCAAACCATCCCCAAGGGCACAAACGTCTTTTACCTCATCTTCCACAACGTTATGAGCAACCAACTTTGAATCTTGCATAAACCGCTTAACAGCACCAGATTTCCTCCTTTTAGCTCCAATTCTAGGACTAACCCTAACAACTTCTGTCTCATCAACTTTTCTTTCCTTATTTCCATTTTTACCCCCGTCATCTGCTCGATCTTCGTGAATATGAATAGCAAAGTCAGACATGTTTTCTTGATTTGTGGAAGATGAGAGTTTCAATTCGGGGAGTGATATGTCCAAATTGGTTTTGGTTTTTGGTTCTTGAGTTTGTGGAGAAGGGATTAAAGATCCAGAATCATTACTGAAGTTTGAATTGTTGACAGATGGGATTGGTGAAGGGTCTTCAATGATTTTGATTTTGACAGATGGGACTTCGTATGTGGCGTCTGGAGAACGCTGATGTGGCGGTTGTTTTTGTTTTTTCTTTGATTGTGGTGTGGGCCCCGCTGAATGTTTTCTCTTCCGTCTACGGTTTGATTTGGATTTTGAACTTCACGTTTTAAAAAATTAGAAAACATTAACAGTCTGTCATTCAGGATAACACAGGACAAGACAAGACAGGACAGTACAAGTTGTAATGTCAGTGCAAGGACAACTGACAGAGGGACAGGACAGGACATGATATGACAGGATAAGATCAATAGAAAAAGAAATATGGAGTAATAAAAAGGAAAACCTCTCTTCAAATGCATCAATGAAATCAGAACATGACATGAGATTCTCCACAGGTTCCCAAGTATTTGATGACTCTGGCCAGCCACGCCTTCATTAAAGAATAAACAAATATTTTAATCCATAAAACAAAATTTCATATTACAATTTTACAACAGGAAATTAATGCTTATATGAAAGATTCATTTCACATGATGTAATGTTTAGGTACTCTAAAATGGGTTGGAGTGAAAAGAAATTTTAGATTTGAACCAAATCGGAAACAAGATTAATATTTTGAACAAATCAAGACTAACATTTGAGTTTGAAATCGGAACAGGAACTAATCATGGATGATTCAATACTCCAAACATTTTGATGTTTTGAAACTGTAAGTAAAAGAGTATAGAACCCCTAAAACAAATATATGTTCTTTGGATATAATTATGTGAAAATGACATGTGATATAACAGGGTCACGTACCATTTGATGAGATACTGCGTTTCCCCCTTTTTTTCCCGAAGCAATCCACGACGAGGAAGATGACAGAAAATTCGAAGAACAAAAGCGCAGCAAAATCAGGCCAAATGTAGCGTTATAAATAAGGAAAATATACTAATAAAGCAATGAAACAAAAACAAAAAAAAGTACAATAAACCTTCCGTATCCGTTTCCTCCTCACAGCTTCGATCTCGTAGAAACCCTCAGCTAGCTTAGGTCGCTCGTTGTCATCCTTGCTTTCACCTC